ATAAAGAATGTAACAAAAATTATTGATTTTAAAATTTAGTATTATATTTTAGTTAAAAAGGATGCAATTTGTAGGAAAGAGCCTTGTTTAGGGATAAATTTATTGAATTCACTAATAAGTATTAATCCAGAATAAAATGATTGTCTATTAAGCTCAATAAAATTATTGGTATATTAAAGTTTGTATTATAGTTTAGTAATTAAATATTAAATCATAAAAAATAGGAAAAGTTTAATAAAAATGTTATAAAAGGAAAATCTTTATCAACAACAATTGAGAATTCAGTCGATTTAACTAATAGGTGCAATAATATTGTTTTTAATAAGATTTTCCTTTGTAATGGAATTAATCAATTAATTGAGACATTTCTTGATTACCTACAAATCTCTTCAGAAATAATTAATTTTTGTCCTCCTGTGAAAATTTGTTCACATTTATATATGTTTAAAAGATATAAGAATATTTCTATTATATAATTTAAAATGTCTTTAGATGTTTCATTACTTACAGTTGAAGTTAAAATAGGTGAGATGTTTACTGGATATATGGCTTAAACAGAAGTAATTTTAATTTTGCTAATAAAGGATACCATAAAAGTTGGATTAAATGAATTATAGATTGTTACTAGAGATTGAAGACCTGTGATGTAAGATCTTTTTAGATAAGCATCTATGCTTAAGAAGATTAGAATTATGTAATAAATAAGAGAGAAAGCATAATAAGAGGTATTAAATTATTATTATTTAATATTAACGGATTCAGTAACTAAAAAAAGATAAATTAATATCAATTGTAATTTTAGGTTATATAATTTTTTAATGCAAAATTCTTTAAAATACTTGGTTATTTATCGTTGAAAACTGAAAAATAAATTGCTTCTATAAGGTTACAATAAGTTCTAGTGGTAATAGTATCAATCATGGATTATTATTTGCTTCTAAAGTTATAATCATTGCAAATCTAACTGAAAATGTTGGAAAGGCAGGATTTGAAATATCATACTGTTTCCTGAATCAGTTAAAATTATTATTTAGGATTTACCAACATCACAAAATGGTAATTGATGGCGCTAATATATTATTCTAAGAAAATATCTAATGATAATAGCATTGATTTATATCCTGGTTGCTATTCTAATAATTAAGTCTATATAACAATGGTTTCAAATGCAGAAGTGGAACTAGCTTATAAATAGTAATAGAATAAATCACTTTACCGATTTCTGCTGCTTCTGCTAATGTATACTTGTATTCTCCTGCTTCAATGATGTGGGGTAGCAAATTCTGCAACAGCACAATAGCACTCAGTATTAACTTTTAGAATGTAAATTTTGGAATAACAGCTTTAAGTCTAGATCTATCCTTAAAATTCCCAGCCCTTTATTAAGATATTCAGAGTGCAGTAATCATAACAGGATCATTTAAATCACCAAGTAACTTAGAAATCCATGTAAATTGAATAATACAGGGATTCGCTGATGCTACTTTATGTAAGTACAGGTATAAATAATGTTATAATCTCTAATATCTAATTAGTTAATAATTCTGTTACAGTAAATTCCAAATTAACATTTTTAACAAGAGTATAAAGAATATTCTTAAAAAATTGTGTTTAAGTAAGTATTAAAACATAATTAGATGCTTCTGTAGATAGTACAATAGGAGTTACTCCTAAAGATGTAAGATATTTCCTCTATTCATTTAAAAATTGAATTAAGATATACTTGTTCAAGTCATAATATTGGAGGATAAATAATTTTTGAAATAGTATCAAAATTGTTTTATGTATACAAAGTAGTATTAAAATTAAAAGGAACAACCTCAGCTAGTTATAGTAACACTGCAGAAACAATTTAATCTATTTTATTGTTGATTACCGTCAATCATAAAATCATTAAGAGCTATTATTAAATTTAAAATAGCATTAATAAATGATATGATTGTGTAGAAATATCATAATATTCTACTTTAAAAGATTTTCCAATGACAACGCCCTTTACAATTACTTCTGTTTAATCTTTTCCTTCAGTTTTATCATCCTCATCTATTATGTCAATAGTTTTGTTATCAGGAGCGAAAAGTTTGGATAATGAATTACATTTCCAACTTCCTTACGAGACAAAAATTATTTTAACTTATACATATTAATAGCAGTAAGCGATTCAAGTCCATTATATGTTACAGACAGATCAATTGCAGGTATACATTTATGTAATATTGTAAGAGTAGATGAATTGGAGTTATTAATATTAATCCAAGTATGAATTAGATTCTATTTTAAAGTATGGTGCCTAAAACTAACAACTGCTGGTTTATTACATGTTACAACTTAGTTATTGGACTCCTCAAAACAGTCTTATATATATTTACAGGTTCAGTGTTAGAGATGAAATGAGTGAGTTAAATTAGGTTATCCATATTTATTAAAATAAATTAAGAATAGAAAATCAAACTATAATCTATGAATATTAAATGGAATCATTCAATATAAGTTTCAAAATAATGCAAATGGAGAGGGAAGTAATATTATAGAAATAAGTTAATTTTCTCCATCTATTAGCAATTTCAATGGGGTTGATTGAGAATTATTTTTGGATCTATTAGGTTCATTGACATCATTACCATACACACTACAATTTTTTATAATTTTAATATTAACCAGAACTATATATTTGAACAAAACGTTATAAAATTGAATGCTTTAAATTCTAATTCACTATTAACAATAATTAGTGATTGAAATTATAATGGAACTTTTTAATTGATTGGCACAATTTGATCAGCAGCATCTATCATTATAGAGAGATAATGTCTTTGGTTTAGAAGATTATATAGCAATTAAGCTGATAGGTCGTTTGAGAAAAATGATGACATACTAGCAGTTAAAGGAAGAAGTTTCATATGATTATCGGTAATATATTTTACTGTAACATTTATCGTATTTCATATTCCTTTATCGGTTCTCAGAATTAAACATCTCTATTAATTTTATAGCATGTAATTGAAAACATATACGTCTAATCTGCCTTCTCTTTGGAAAATCTGGACAAACCTTATTTTGAGGAATCAATCTCATTTCCAATGTCTCTCTAAGTTCTATTATATACAACAGATCTATTTCTTTTTTTTTTTTAAACTGTAATATTATTTTAATAATTGCTAATTCATTGATATGCATTTTTTTTGTAATATTTCTTCAAACTTTGATATAACTTACAATAGATTAAATTGCTTTAATTTAATCTAATTGCTATTACAAAATGAAAAGGACTCAACCATTACAAAGAATCTTAAAGTTAAAATAAATTTTCAAGCTATTCATCTTTTATCTCCTAAAGTGAATTTTAGTACAATTCCTCTAGATTATTGATCTATAAATATAATATAATACTTTAAACTTTTTTTATCATTCATTTGATAGACTTCAGGTAGATTATGATCTATTCAATTTAAATCAATTTTAAGAAAAACTTATTAATTCTAATAAATAATTGTTTGAATATAAACACTAATAACTTTTCCTGTCTTTCCATCCCATCATTCAATATTTTTATTAAAAATGTAGAATTATCCTTTACTATTTATTTAATCATCTACAAAGTTCCTAAAGATAAAATCATTGTTTGATAGATAAAATTTTCTTTAACCATGATTTCTCTAATACATTTTATAATTACTCTATTGGATTATTGGATGACAGCATATGTATTTATGACTTCATCAACTTGCTTTTATGGTTAATTCAAATTAAATTGAATTTATTAATACTTATTGATTCTTCTATTTCTTCATCAAGTTTTTAAATCTATTATTAACTTTTAAGTAATTTCATTATATATCTCTCCTTTTATTGAGGAATTAACACTAATCAATCCGACTTTTTTAGAACTATAAATATTGATTTTTTGGTTATGTGAGGTGAGATTATTGTAAATGTAGCTATTCAATATCTTTAATTTTTAATAATAACTAATTATGGATAATTAAGTCTCTATTCAGGGTCAATTATTAACACTTCAACAATAATTATTGCTCATAATTTTTATTCTATAATAATTATTGAATTCTTAAACTCAAAACATTTTAGTCTATTCTAGATATTTTATAAATCATGATTGTTTTTATCTAATTTATCCATATTATTTCTCTTCCAAATTATGTTCATAGATAGTGTAGTCTTCCCTTTCTGTCATATTAAATTAGGATACAATTAGTTATTTGGCTTGTTTAGAACAATAGTGATAGTTCATCTTTGCTATATTAGCATAGGACAACATCTGTGTAACTTAGAATTTACTTTATGATACTGATACACTGATCTTTATCTTAGATTTAAATTCAACTAATTCTTTTATATTTAAAAAATCATTTTACACTGTTTTCATATATATAAATAATTCTTATTTTTCTTTAAATTTAATACCAGACTTTCAATTTTGTTATAACTTCTAAACTATTTAATTTTATAAAAAATATCGCTAAATTATAAAAAATAAGTTCAAATTATTGCCAACCAAACTTTCTTAATCTTTGAATTGTAAACAAGTTTTAGATGAATTAATTATTAATTAAAAGTTTAATATATATAGAATGCTATTAGAAATATTATGATGATTTTTTGAAAAACATTGATATCTCAAAATAACAGACATTTCCAAAATTTTATATCCAACTATAGCACTTTATTATTTTTAATACATGGATTTGAAAGACTATATCAAACAGCCTAAGCAATCGAAATAAATTTTCCATCTCTAATTTCTCTGTACATAGGAGGAGCATTTCTTAGAACTACTCTTAAATTTTCATTTCTTGGTGTTTAACCATTAATTTATTTCATTGAAGGACCTTATAAAGAAAAAAGGAAAATTTTTATTATTTTTTTTATTTCCTATATTTTTTGTGGTTTTTATATTTTAATTAATTTTGCGAGACGTTAATTATTTAAAATGAATAAATAATGGAGATTCAATACAACAGATCACTAAGTAGAGCTCCTGAAAATCAATAGTTATATCTTATAAGAAGAATTACTCGTACATAGAGAAAAACAGGACCAAAAAAATCAAAAAATTAATGTTCAGTAGTATAATAATTTTATAAGAAAAATTCTCGATCAAAAGAGAAAGTAAAAAGATCTCTCAATCAAGATGTATTGGAAGAAAAAAGAAAATATACCTTAACATAAAGGAATTACAACCAATGTCTATACTCTTCCTTAAGAATTGTACACACAAGCCCAAATAAACTTAAATTGGATCATACCATAAAATAAAAATATGTAAAAGTAATTTAAGAGCTAGAATGATAGACAGGATGTTAGAAGTTCTGTACTTTTATAGATGCACTGATTAAACATTTTTGTTGCTTTAAGAACTATAGAATTCTATTTTTCAAAAAGAAAAGTGAAATAATTAGAAATTTCTGATTTAAATTAATTTGGAGATAATAATTTTTGTTTATGATAATGCAAAAAATTATCTCACTAATTAATTAGGAATTGAATACCTAAAATAGCTAAGCATTGATCTAAATGAGGACTAATAATGAGTAAAACTGTAATCATCATAAGGTCTATTTAGATATATATTAATAAGTTTTGTGGGAGACTAATGAAAGAAAAGTTTGTATAAATTCTGATAATTTTTAAAAGGCTGTATAATGGATAGAAAACACTTTATGAAATTCAAATTATTTCAGTATTGTAAACATGTATTATAGATTTATTGATAAATTTGATTAACTTAAAGCTATTGTTAATAAAAGTAAATAATAATTCTTATATTAAATGAATAGAATCTCAATAAAGTCGAAGATGGTGTCTATAAATTCTCAATTCTTACCAATGATTTATTGCAAAGAATTAATTTAGATAGAGATCGTCCTCCAATTAAACTTCAATAATTGAAATATACTTTAATAAATTTAGATGAATCATTAAAATTAGAATAACGAACTTAAAGTAGCAAATTGATATTAGATAGAAAAGTTACAATAAGTATGAATGATATTTTAATCCTATTTAATATTATTGACTAGATATATATTATATGATCTTTCATGGATCAAAGATACCCTTCAAAAAATGAAAGAAAGTAAAACATCATTTTGAATTAGAGATTTAGATTTAACTTTTAAATATACATAAGAGGAAATATATCTTAGAATGGTAATTTAGAAGGATAAGTTAAAGAAAAAGCAAAATTGCATGATCATTTATTAATTGATTATAGAAATTTATACAAAAAATTAGATTGAGATTCTGTGAATAAAGAATTTAATTAATTTTAAAGGTAAAAGAATTTAATAGAGTTTAAAATTTCTATGAAGATATTTTGACTAAACATACCTACATCTTCAAAAAGAAGAATTCAATGTAAGCATTAAATCTTGCAAAAAGATTATAACCAAAATAAAGAAAATCAAAGAAATTATAACATTAACTAAGAGAGATAATTTCAGAAATCGAGAAATTTTAGAAAGAAAATAAATTAAAAAAGATGCCTTTGACAAAAAATAATAACAATAAATATTTATTGTTATTTCTTTTAGTCATTTTAATTTAGTAGCTCATATAGAGGAAAAAGATAAAGAAATTTTAAAATATAAATCACTTTGAAAAAAATATGATTAAGCTTATTAAATATTAAAAGCAAAAAATGATGATATAACTAATCCAATAAATATTATATTAATTTAATAGAGATTTATTAAAAGGATTTATAAAGACCAAAAATAAAAAGAAAAAATATACTAATCTGATTGAGTTGTCATCACTACCAGATGCTATCCAATTTGATTAATTAAAGCACCATCTCATTCCATCTTTTTTCTTTTAAACTTCATTAGAATTTTGTCAATCCCTACTTTTTTTGCTCATTCACATTATTAATGCACCATTTATTTGATAAACTAAACAGATATTTTAACTCAAATTAATTCATTAATTTTAATAGAGTTTGGAATTAATGTTCAAAAAGGGAGAAACTATTTGTGTTGAAAACATATAAGTAAAAAAGGAGTTGAAATTGGTGAAGGTGGATTTGGAACTGTTTTTCAAGGTGAAATAGCAGCTGGCCATGTTGTGTTGTTGCTTTAAAATGGCAAAAGTCAATAAGTGATCACGAAAGAAAAATATTGTAAGCACTTAAAGGAAAAAAATTTGATCATGTAATTTAAGTGTTTGCTTTTGAAGAAAAGATAGATGGAGTTTTCATCATTATGGAACTTGGACAAAGTACTGAGAAAAAAGCCTGCCTAATAAACAAAAGACATGTTTGCAAGTAAACAAAATTATATAATTTAAATGGCCTAAGGTGTTTCTGAATTACATAAATTAGGATTTTTTCCATAGAGATTTAAAACTAAAAAATTTTGTAAAAGGAAAAGATAATAAAATCAAGTTGATAGATTTTGGAATCGCCAAAACTATTGCAGAGGAAGCTCAAACCAAAGGAATAGGAACCATAGTATATATGGCACCTGAAGTCTTGATCACCTCTGATTATGATTCCTCCGTTGATATAGGGTCTTTGGGTCTGATCTTTTATGAAATACTTACAAACAAAACATTTTTTGAACAAAATGACAGCTATTACCAAATAATAAAACAACGCATCTAGTTGTATGTTGGGTTGCTGGTACCCTCTCCGGATTGGTGAGTCGATTAAAATTCCAAAATAGGGGTATTAAAAAAAAATTTCAAAGATTTTAAAATACAAAATTTTTGTTAATATCTTATTCACTTTGTCAAAATATAATATATTTATTCAAAGTTTTATTATCAAAAATTTAAAAATATATTTAAGTAATAAATATAATATAGTTATCTTTTTATAAAAAATTTATTCAAAATCAATATTTATAAAAAAAATAACAATAACCAATATTGTCTATTTAGATTTATGGTATCGTTATTTATTTTACGCAACAAAACTAATCTGATATAAATTATCCTTTTATAATGATTTAAATGAGTTTTTTAATTTTTTATATCATTCTTATTACTACTTAATGTTATATAAAACATTGTAAAGTTAAAATAAATGAAAAAATGGTAAAATAAAGTTTACGATTAAGTTTGAAAATTTGAAAATAAACTTGCCGTAATTCGATAAATAAAATTACTAAAATTACTTCCAAAATAATTTCTAAAACTAAAACTTTAATTTCAAAATATTTAGCAAACAACTAAAATATTAGATTTTCAACTTTCAGTTACATTAGTCTTATATCCAATAATTGTATATCTATAAATTATCAATAACGATACAATAAAATAAATGGTTTTATAAAGAAATCATAATCGTATGGTGGAAAACATCGTAGAAATTGTCTTACAAAAATAATTATTGAATAAAAAACACTCCTCTAATTATTTAATTTTTTAGAAATTTTCAAATTTAGATATTTATTTAATTCTATATTTTAAGCTATGCATTAGTCCTTAAAATTGAAAATGTGTTGAATTTACATCTAAAACATTCAAATCCTTATTTTCACTGCGTTTTGTTTTTATCTTAACTTTAATACATAAGATATTTTTGATTCACAATATACAACTTAATATAAAAAAAAGATAGAAATTCAATATATTTATAAAGAAAAAATTTATATTAAGGCTTGAACTTTGTCACTTTACACATTTTAATTAAGTAAAAGTAATCGAAATAGGGACTGCTAGTTTTTAGTTCAAAAGTGACTTTAAATGGAAAAATTATCATTATTTATTTCATTATTAAATTTAATGTATTTTTTTTAACCAAAAGTAATAGAAAAAGAAAAAGATTTGTTGTGCAAAAAACACCAACAACAGATCGAATTTGTTGTTCTTAATTCTTAATCCTCAAGAGATGAAAGGCTTTTATGCAAGTTCTGTTCTCGATAGTAACTAACTAATTCTTAGATCATGGATTATCAATCAATTAAATAAAACTTTGATGCATCTCAAAGAGAAAAGATTTAACAATACGAGCCAATAATCAAGCCTCACCTTTAATCAGTTGAAGGCTTTTCGAAAATGATTGATGCTCTAAAAACAAGATTGATCCAACAACTTGATGAATTAATTTGGTTATCTAAGGATTGGATAAATAACTTAATTGATTCTATAACTTAATATAGCTTTTTTGGAGAATTAGATTTGTTAATCAAAAGCGAAATGTCAGTCATTGATCCAGCAACAATCATTGAAAAGATTAAAAAAATCCACTAGGATTGTGACTTCAAAATAAGCTCAAAATTAGTTAAATTTAAACATTAACCTGAGTTCAAAGGTTATGAAGAATTATAAAAATATCATAATAATTTATTATAGAAATAAGAGACAGAAATTAAGTAAGTAGTTATTTTAAAATCTAGGTTACAATCTATCAAATAAGAAGAGTATATAAGTTAAGACGAGCTCACTGAAATTTTAGATTAAGTTCAAAATATTGATGAAGAGATGCTCAATGAGATAATAGAATTTCTAAGAAAATAAAAAATTACACAGCTTTTAGGATTTCTTACAAAGAGAGATAATCAAAAGTTCTATGAAATTTTCACCAATAAAAATGAGAACTTAATGTGTGTAAAACAGAAAATAGTTAAGATTGCTCATATTATAAGAAATATTTAAGAACATCGATTTAGTCAAATTGATTTTTCCATTGAAACCTATGAAAAGGAAAGACTCAATGTCATTAAGAAGATCTCAGGAAATAAGAGAATCGTAGAATTTTTAAAATTTTTAGTACAACTAACTAGTATTGATGAAAAATTTATTTAAAGTGGGTCAAATGGACTAAGTTTATTAGTGTAGATGAAGGTTGATTTAACCAATAAAAGCTTTGAAGATATTAGGATAAAGAATACAGCTTTGATAGGCGCAAATTTCGTTAGATGTAATTTTAGTGGATCAGTATTTGAGAATGTGGATATTAGTGGTGTCAATCTTAATGGAGCACTACTCTTTAAATGTAATTGGAAGAACATAAAGATTCATGAGTTTAACAAATTAGATGGTCATAGTAGAATTGTATGGTCAGTATGCTTCTCACCAGATGGAACTACTTTAGCATCTGGTAGTGGTGATAACTCAATCAGATTATGGGATGTTAAAACAGGATAATAAAAAGCCAAATTAGATGGTCATAGTAGTTCTGTATAATCAGTATGCTTCTCACCAGATGGAACTACTTTAGCATCTGGTAGTGATGATAACTCAATCAGATTATGGGATGTTAAAACAGGATAATAAAAAGCCAAATTAGATGGTCATAGTAGTTCTGTATAATCAGTATGCTTCTCACCAGATGGAACTACTTTAGCATCTGGTAGTGATGATAACTCAATCAGATTATGGGATGTTAAAACAGGATAATAAAAAGCCAAATTAGATGGTCATAGTAGTTCTGTATAATCAGTATGCTTCTCACCAGATGGAACTACTTTAGCATCTGGTAGTGATGATAACTCAATCAGATTATGGGATGTTAAAACAGGATAATAAAAAGCCAAATTAGATGGTCATAGTAGTTCTGTATAATCAGTATGCTTCTCACCAGATGGAACTACTTTAGCATCTGGTAGTGATGATAACTCAATCAGATTATGGGATGTTAAAACAGGATAATAAAAAGCCAAATTAGATGGTCATAGTAGTTCTGTATAATCAGTATGCTTCTCACCAGATGGAACTACTTTAGCATCTGGTAGTGATGATAACTCAATCAGATTATGGGATGTTAAAACAGGATAATAAAAAGCCAAATTAGATGGTCATAGTAGTTCTGTATAATCAGTATGCTTCTCACCAGATGGAACTACTTTAGCATCTGGTAGTGATGATAACTCAATCAGATTATGGGATGTTAAAACAGGATAATAAAAAGCCAAATTAGATGGTCATAGTAGTTCTGTATAATCAGTATGCTTCTCACCAGATGGAACTACTTTAGCATCTGGTAGTGATGATAACTCAATCAGATTATGGGATGTTAAAACAGGATAATAAAAAGCCAAATTAGATGGTCATAGTAGTTCTGTATAATCAGTATGCTTCTCACCAGATGGAACTACTTTAGCATCTGGTAGTGATGATAACTCAATCAGATTATGGGATGTTAAAACAGGATAATAAAAAGCCAAATTAGATGGTCATAGTAGTTCTGTATAATCAGTATGCTTCTCACCAGATGGAACTACTTTAGCATCTGGTAGTGATGATAACTCAATCAGATTATGGGATGTTAAAACAGGATAATAAAAAGCCAAATTAGATGGTCATAGTAGTTCTGTATAATCAGTATGCTTCTCACCAGATGGAACTACTTTAGCATCTGGTAGTGATGATAACTCAATCAGATTATGGGATGTTAAAACAGGATAATAAAAAGCCAAATTAGATGGTCATAGTAATTCTGTATAATCAGTATGCTTCTCACCAGATGGAACTACTTTAGCATCTGGTAGTGATGATAACTCAATCAGATTATGGGATGTTAAAACAGGATAATAAAAAGCCAAATTAGATGGTCATTGTGATAGAGTATGGTCAGTATGCTTCTCACCAGATGGAACTACTTTAGCATCTGGGAGTTGTGATAACTCAATCAGATTTTGGGATGTTAAAACAGGATTATAACAAGTCAAATTAGATGGTCATAGTGATAGTGTAATGACAGTATGCTTCTCACCAGATGGAACTACTTTAGCATCTGGTAGTGGTGATACCTCAATCAGATTATGGGATGTTAAAACAGGATAATATAAAGTCTAATTAGATGGTCATAGTAGAATTGTAGGGTCAGTATGCTTCTCACCTGATGGAACTACTTTAGCATCTGGAAGTGGTGATAACTCAATCAGATTATGGGATGTTAACACAGGATAATAAAAAGTCAAATTAAATGGTCATAGTAATGATGTAATGTCAGTATGCTTCTCACCTGATGGAACTATTTTAGCATCTAGTAGTGTTGATAAGTCAATCAGATTATGGGATGTTGAAACAGGATTATAAAAAGCCAAATTAGATGGTCATAGTAATTATGTTATGTCAGTATGCTTCTCACCTGATGGAACTACTTTAGCATCTAGTAGTGTTGATAAGTCAATCAGATTATGGGATGTTAAAACAGGATAATAAAAATCCAAATTAGATGGTCATTCTAATACTGTCTATTCAGTATGCTTCTCACCAGATGGAACTACTTTAGTATCTGGTAGTAGTGATTGTTCAATCAGATTATGGGATGTTAAAACAGGATAATAAACAGCAAAATTAGATGGTCATAGTAATTATGTACAATCAGTATGCTTCTCACCTGATGGAACTACTTTAGCATCTGGTAGTGTTGATAAGTCAATCAGATTATGGGATGTTAAAACAGGATAATAAAAAGCCAAATTAGATGGTCATAGTAATGCGGTACAATCAGTATGCTTCTCACCTGATGGAACTACTTTAGCATCTGGTAGTGGTGATAAGTCAATCAGATTATGGTATGTTCCAACAGGATAATAAAAAGCCAAATTAGATGGTCATAGTAATGCGGTACAATCAGTATGCTTCTCACCTGATGGAACTACTTTAGCATCTAGTAGTGTTGATAAGTCAATCAGATTATGGGATGTTAAAACAAGATAATAAAAAGCCAAATTAGATGGTCATTCTAATACTGTCTATTCAGTATGCTTCT